TTTGGTCAATGACATGAGACAAAGTATATGTGAACTGCTGTATGAAAAGTGAATTTACTCTGTAAATCTTCACCCAAATCAAAATAAAATTTTAAAAAAAAGTTTTCTGAAGCTTCATGTTAAATTTGAACATTCCATTGTCTCAATTATTGCTTCCTAAAACAAAGAGTATGAAGTTCTGTGGAAACACATAAATTTATGTTTTTACATAAAGCATCAATAATAAGGATTAAAAAAAAAAAAAAACTTAAAATAGAGAAGTTGAGAAATTCACTACAGTCTCCAGCAAACAAAACATGCTGCAACACGGCCATCTAGATGCAATGATGAGTCTCTCCTCGTCCAGAACAAAAAAGAACGAAGAAAACCAAAGATCTGTGGAAACGATTAGTCCAAGTGACTGGTATACCATGCAATCCTCAGCCTATACGACCACGAGACCAGAAGAACTAGATGGTGCCCAGCTACCACTATCACCACTTGGAGGGGGATCTATGTAGAAGATCCTGGATACAGTGGGAGAACAATGTGGAACAAAATTCAAAATTGAAAAAAAAAAAAATATGGACCAGCTTTGCTGATCTGATAGAGCCTAATGGAACCCCTGAGACTATGGCCTCCAGCTGCCCTTCAGGTCTGGAGTTGAACCCACTTCTGTGACTTCCAAACAAAAACAGGTGTATGAGGTGAACATTTACGTTAGGCAGATACACTCCTTGGAGAGATGAGTCATGGGAGAATAGAAGGGCTGTGTATGCACAGAGAGACAGCTCAGGGGACAGGAGTGCATGGAGGGAAGGACACAGGGAAGAGGTAAGTATGAGGAGGAAGTGGGAGGGGACTTGTTAACATTGTGGTAAACTGTAGTCAATGTCATGAGACAAAGTGTATGTGAGCTTCTGATGGAAAGTGAATTTGCTCTGTAAGCTTTGACTCAAATCACAATTTAAAATTAAAAACAAAACAAAACATGCTACAACAACAAACATATGCCCTGGATCCATCTTTGGGACCACACAGTTAATGATATAAAATATTAAGACTCACCTCTGGATCCTAAGAGGTGCTATGTTGCATAGTAAATACAAAGGAGCCTCCAGATACGTTTTGAGTCTGAACACCCACCTGGAAGGCACAGGCATTTGACAATTGAGTCACCAAAACCAAAAATATATTTTTGATATTTTGTGTTTTGTAAAAAAAACAGTGGAAGTGGTTCAGAATTGGGTCACGAGTAAAATTGGGAGCTCTGGTGGTATAGTGCCTAAGGCATTTGACTGCTAGACCAGAAGGCTGGTGCTTCAAACCCACCAGCCACTCCTCTGAAGGAAGATTGGGCAATCTACTTCGGTAGAGATCGCGCCTTGGAAACCCAAGGAAGGGTCACTATGAGTTGGAATTGACTTGACGGCAGTGAGGTTTTTTTTGTTGTTGTTGTTGTTGTTGTTGTTTTAATTGTAAAAACCTAAACTGCCTTGAAGAGACTTTGGTAGAGATCTTGAACAGAGTGAGAAAACAATGTGCAACCAAACTCAAAATCAGAAAAAAAGGTCTGACAGAGGCTGGTGAAACCCCTGAGACCATGGTTAGCTTTCAGGCCTGGACTTGAACTCACTCCCATGGTTTCCAGCTAAATAGGCACATAGGGTGAACATTTACATCAGGTAGATACACACCTTAGAACAATCAATCACTGGAGAACCAAAACCAAAACCAAACTCACAGCCATCAAGTCGGATCTGACTCATAGCTACCCCTCCTTGGGTTTCTGAAGAGGTATTGCTATGGAAGTAGATTGCCCAACCTTCTTTCCGAGGAGTGGCTGGTGGGTTTGAACTGCCAGCCTTCTGGTTAGCAGTCAAATGCCTTAGGCATTATGCCATCGGAGTTCCCCATGGGAGAACAGAAGGGCAGTATTTGCACAGGGAGATAGCCCAGGGCAGGAATGCCTAGGAAAGGACACAGGGAAAAGGTTAACTATAGGGAGGAAGTGGCAACAGAACGGTTAAATTGTAGGATTGCAGTCAATGTCATGAAACAAAATGTGTATGCAAAATGAATTTGCTCTGTAAACTTTCACCCAAATCACAACTAAAAAAACAACTATTAAAAAAAGGAACTGAGGGGGGTGGGTCTGCCATGCCCAAGGGGCAAAACAAGGCCTGTTGAGTCCAAGTTAGTGGGATTAGCACTCAGATGGACTAGGAGAATGGGGCTGCCCAAAACTGAGGGACCAGAGTTGCCATCCCAGTGGGCCTAGAAGGTGCAGGTGAAGCCCAGGGCCAAGGGGCCTCCACCCAGAATCCAGAGAGCATGGCCAACAGTCTAGAGTGTAGGGCTACTTCCTAAATTGTCTGAGACAATATTATCTTCAGGCCTTGAGAGCTAATGTGAATTGTCCTGCTGTGTTTTACTTTCTTGGGCCGACTATTCCTTCTTTTCCTCTAATTTCTCCCATTTATAATGGAAACATCTCCTGTGTGCCTGTTCTCTCTCCCATTGTACTTTGGAAGCAGATAACTTATACTCTAGAGTCGCAGATGAATGTTGCCCCAGGATGGAATTTAAACTTGGAGTTGATTTAGAATTTTGGGGATAATATGATAGGATGAAAGTGTTTTGCATATGGCAAGGATATAAATTTTGGAATGCCAAAGGGTAGAATGCCATGGATTGAATAGTGTTCTCCCAAAATGTGTCAACTTGGCTGGGCCATGATTCTCAGTGGTTTGGCAGTTATGTAAGGATATAATTTGGCAGTTTACACGTAATGATGTAATCATCCTCCATGACGTGATCTGATATGATCAGCCAATCAGTTGTAAGGCGATAAGGATAGGATGCAACACCCCTACTCAGGTCACACCCCGATCCACCCTAAGAGGAGTTCTTCTGGGGTGTGGCCTGTATCACCTTTTATCTTACAGAAGATAAAAGGAGAAGAGTAGAGACAGAGGGACCTCCTACCACCAAGACCACCCTGGAGTGGAGCATATCCTCGGGATCTGGGTCACTACACTGAGCAACTCCTAGACCCAGGGGAAGATAGATGACAAGGACCTTCCCCAGATTCCCGAAAACCATCCCCTAGAGGTGGCACCCGGAATTCGTACTTCTAGCCTCCTAAACTGAAGAGTATAAATTTCTATTTGTTAAATCCATCCACTTTTATTTCTGTTACATCAGCTGTAGATAACTAAAACAGGGACAATGGTCAATTGACAGGTGTTGGTTCTTCCCGTATATAGGAAGACATGGAACTTGGCAGTTCCCTGGAGGAGCACAATAGTCCCACTGCTAAGAGATCCTATGGGTAAAGCTAAGTTAGTCTGAAAGGGTCTGCAACCTTCAATCTTCCTCTCAGTCTACAGATGTTTTTTGTGTAATAAGAAGTGAATCAGTAGGGGCCTCAACAGCTTAACTGTCAAAGGACTTCTTTCTACTACTTCTACAAAGGGAGTGAGAGAGGGGGCATTCATTTTCATAGTAATATATATACATATACATATATAAACAACAGCAAACTTTCATTAGAAAGATGAGAAGTGCTGACGATCTGTATTCCTCCCACCAGGCACTCAACCTCCTGCATAAAGCACCATCTCAGTAAAAAGTAAGACGCTGAACCCATAACCTCCTTTGTGGTATTTTTATTTTTCTACCTGGGATGTGAACAACGTGAATATGGGTCAGAAAAATCAGCTGCACTGAAATGTTCCAGTAAATTGCAAAACAGAGGACTGGTGGGCATGGAGAGAGAGGTGTGTGATGACTGCAGACCAGCTTCTCCAAAGGGACTTGTGGTCCAAACCCACTACCCATGGGTGCTCTGGACAGGGTGGGGCAGGACCATGCAGTGCAGACTCTGACAGGAGGGACAAGAAGGACTAGTCACAATTGGGGCTGCTGCTGAGCATGAGTTTATTGGCTTCTGGCCTCACGCTTGCTGTTGCTTGATAAAGTTGATCAGCCCATTGGTGGAAGAATCATGAGAGGTCACTGGGGTGCTGCCATCAAGCTCAGGCTCAATTTTCTTAGCCAGCTGCTTCCCCAGCTCCACTCTGCCAGAAAAGGGAGGAAGAATGGTATGAGGAAGGTCTTAGTGTTGCTAACAAAATGCATGAACCAACCTACAGGCACTCTCCCATCCATCCTGTGAGTCAGTAACTCACCCCCACTGGTCAAAGCTATTGATGTCCCAGATGATGCCCTGAATGAAGATCTTGTGCTCATACATGGCTGTGGAGGGGAGAGATAGTGCAAGTTAAGGCAATTCCAGCTCAGTTCAACCTACCCCAAGCTGGTGCCTACCCCTACTTACTCACCGATCAAGGATCCAAGAATGAATGGTGTGAGCTTGGTGAAGACAATGGAATTGGTTGGGCGATTTCCTTCAAAGACCTTCAGAATACACCAAGGAATGTTGCTCAGTTACTCTTAATCTCCACATCCCCAGAAAGGGAAGCACACCCTCCCTAGAGGCTGGGACATGCAAGTCTGTGAGGATGGACCCTCTCCTACTGTGTAGGATAAGCCAGACACGTCATGAGTCCCTGCCCTGACCCTGCATCTTCATCCCAACATGCTACCCCAAAGCCAACCTTAGGAGGGGTGCTGACCTTGTGTGGCAACAGCTTTTCAATGTCCTCCGCACCCTTTCCTGCAGCCTGGAGCTCCTTCCGGGCCTCTTCCACTGTTTTCCCCTTCATTAGGGCCTCAGTCTGGGCTAGAAAGTTGGCCAGAAGGATCTGACAAAAGAGATAACCAGTTGCACAGTCTGTGTTTCAGAGACGCTGTAAGACCATTTGGCACTGCCCAGTCAGGGTTGGTCTCAAGGCTGGTCAGACTGCTTACCCTCACTGCACAGCTCAGCTGGTGGGGAGGGGGGGGGGGGGGGGACAAAAGGCCTCAAGGAAGTTGAGGATGTTGTCCTTCAGTCATCTAAGCAAAATCCACAAATACAGATGAGATAATATAAATAGACAAGCCTCTTGTTTAATGTAGTGAATCCCTGTGACATATACAAGAGCCCTACAAAGTTCTTGAGAATTTTAAATCAGCAGAATGAATGCCAGCTTAGACTAAAAGGGACAGAGAATATGAAAGAAGGCTGCAGCGAGCCCTAAAATTCTATAGGCATAAAACAGGCTGATAAAACTACTCAGCTGCAAGCATGTTCCCTTTCATGAAAAAGGAAGCATGGCCAAAAGGGCAGAACTAGGAGATTACAGGGCAGACCTGTGAACCAGAGTGTTATTCCCAGACCATGAAACCTGATGGAGCTTACACACTGAATTCTGCAATTGTTGAAGACTGGTGACACATTTTTTTCTGTCCATATGAACCAGTATGATTATAACTGTTACCCTATACCTGTCCCATTATTGTATTCTGGGCACAGATAACTTGTTTCTTCAGTTCCACAGGTCCAGAGATGAAGAACTGTGCCCCAGGATGGATTATACCCTGAATCTCACCCATACTTCATTTAGATAATGAGATCTGGAAGTTTTGAGGTAATATAATTTTGGATGCTGGATTTTGGAAGTTGATGCTGTAATGGGATAAAACTGTTATAGTATGGACATGGATCATGGGGGCTAGATGGCAGGCTGTAGTAAACAGAATTTTGACCCCCATGATCTTAGTTCCTATTATTACACCTTGTTATATGATAAAGGGAACTTTGCATATGGAATTAAGGTTAACCTGTTGCCATCAGTAAATTCTTACTCATAGTAACCCTATAGGACAGAATAGAATTGCCCCTAGGATTTCTAAGGCTGTAAATCTTTACAGAAGCAGACTGCCTCATTTTTCTCCCACCAAGTAAATGGTGGGTTGGAACTGCAAACATTTTGGTCAGCAGCAGAACACTTTAACCACTATGCCACCAAGTGCTAAAACCACATGGAAATGCCAACTACCTAAATGAGCAAGGGAACGGATTTTCCCTGGATTCTCCAGAAAGGAACACAGTCCTGCTGACTCCTTAATTTCAGCATTGTGAGACTCTTAAGCAGAGACCTAAGAGAGCCTGCTGGACTTCTGAGCTACTGAAACTATGAGATAATAAATGGGTGCTGTTTGCAGTCACTAAGTTTGTGAAAATTTCATTTTATTGTGATTTGGATGAAAGTTTACAGAACAAATTCATTTTCCATATAGAAGTTCAGACACATATTGCATTGATTGCAATCCCCCCAATGCAACAGCTCTCTCCCTACTTCCTCCTTGATGTTACCTCTTCCTGTGTCCTTCTTTCCTATGCATTCCTGCCCTCTTAGCTATCTCCCAGTGCAAATGCTTCCCTTCCGATCTCCCATCATTGATTGTTCTAAGGAGCATACCTACCTGGTATAAATGGTCACCTTATATGCCTGTCTATTGTTTGGCTGGAGGTCACAGAGTAAGTTCAGTTCTAGGCGTGAAGGGTGACTAAGGGCCACAGGCTTGGGAATTCCTCCAGTCTCTAGCAGATAAGTAAGCCTGGCCTTTCTTTTATGATTTTGAGTTTTGTTGCACATTCTTCTCCCATTCTATCAGGGATCTCCTGCACTGATCCCTTTTGGAGTGGTTGACAATAGTAGCTGGGCGTCATGTAGTTCTTCTGGTCTCACGATCATATAGGTTGAGATTCGCATGGTTCATTAGTCCCTTGGACTAACTGTTTCTATGCATGCTTGATTTCCTTCATTCTTCTTTGCTCCAGACAAGGAGAAACCAATTGTTGTATCTTACATGCCACTTGCAAGCTTTTAAAACCCCCAGTCACTACTCACCAAAGTAGGATATAGAACAATGTTTTTGGGTAGTATGTCAATTGAGCTTGATGTCCCCTGTGACCATGATCTCAAGCCTGTGGGCCCAGTGACTCACTCCCTCAGGGTCTTTGGCTATGGCTATGAGTCGGGTTTGACTCAACGGCACATAACAACAACAACAACAACAACAAGAAGTTATCATCACTTTGCCCCATTAGCTCTATTATATATATGGATGTTCTTATAGTACACACAAATACATATTTAGAAATAACCTCTACCAAATTTATATTACAGTAATGGGTGTATTCCTTTTTGCCTAGACATATCTAATCATTCAGCCTGTCTAGCTATGAATCTACCTATACAGTAATGTTTGTTATTACTAATAATGCAGTATTGTGTATGTAAAAGTGTTTGTTTATTTGTTTGTTATCTGTACCTCTTGTGCACCTCTGTCTTCCTTTTCCTTAGTGATACTGTGTTGGAGTTTGTGACAATTTCTTATGGCAGCAACAGAAAATAACTATAGCTGCCAACCAATGCATCAGGTCTTAAAAGGTGTGAGCATAATATGAACCTAAGAGAGTGTAAGGAGGGTCTGAATCGGGCTCTTACCTTATGATGCAATCCCTTTCGTATTGGGTGCTGGGTCTGAACTGGGATGAGGAAGTCACAGGGTATCATCCTGGTGCCTGTGAAGGGCACTGTGGTCACCCAGGAGCCCATCCCCACCCATGAGGGCTACCACATGGCCTACAGGAGAGTGCTGACTTAAGCAAGAAGTCTCTGCTGGTAGGCCCCCCCCAACATTACCCCTGCCCAAGTTAGATAGGCCCTACCTTGGTGGATGAGCTGGTAGAAGGCATGCTGGCCATTGGTCCCTGGCTCCCCCCACAAGATGGGGCCTGTCTGGTGGTCCACACGGGTGCCAGACTTGGTGATGTACTTTCCATTGGACTCCATATCACCCTGAAAGGGAGAAAGAAACCCAACTCTAAGTACAAGTCTGGTCCCGCCATGCACTACCTCCATGCCTTGCCTGGCATGCATCAAGCATTTCTACCTTGCCCCAGCCCCATGATGTGGACTTGTACTTGTGTATCCACAGGCATGATCCCTGTCTCTCAGTCTAACAAACTATCTAACTTAGATCACTCTGCTGGAAGGACCCAAGACCAGGAGATGGTAGATATGGATGCTAGTGGAGGACCTCTCTAAGGAGAGGGAATATGAGTGGCCTCTAGAAGCTGATGACAACCCTAGGCTAACAGCCAGTAAGGAAACAGGATTTAGTCCTACAACCGCATGGGAATGGATTCGGCAAACAATCTGAATGAGCGAGGAAATGGGTTCTCCCCTAGAGCCTGGTCACAAAGTCCTTGATTTCTTAAGGGAGGAGTAGGCTTGGGGTCCAGAGTGTACAGCCTTCGAGAGCTGTCATCTCAACTAGATGCTAGGCCTTGGGGCATGCCCCTGGTCATGGCAATCCTCACCAATGCAACTGAGACTAAGAGAGCCTTGGCCTCTCCTTCAGTCCTAAGATTCACCTTTAAATATTGGTAAAAGTCTGCTGCATTTGTCCAAAGGAACTTAAAAGCTACAAGATAAGGATTAGGCTTGTGCTAAATAAAAGCAGAGTGAATAAAAGTGCTTCTGAAACAGACTTTTATCAGGAGAGAGGCTGCTCAGCCTCTAAGATTCAAGGGAGGCAGAGGGCTGAGCATCCCAGAGACGCCATAGTCTGGGAACTTGTTTTTCTGGATGTACAAGGGCAGTGCAGGCCACAGGGGTCCCAGCTCATGGGCCTAACCTATGATTGGGGTGCAAAGTGATGTCCAAGAAAGAAGTGACTGTCTGAGACACATCTCTAGAGCCAAGCCACGACCTGAATGGCCAAAATACCACAGATAACTCACCATGTGAGTGAGTCCCCTCACATGGTGGTCCAACTCAGCTGAACATTCAGGTTGAACAGACACTGTTTACAAAGAGGATGCACCATAGGATGGGAAGCAAAGGTGAGCCTTATTCATGCACAAAGGACAATGGGGAAAATGGTTCTTGGAGGAGCAAGAACCTAGGCTCATGGGTCCCCCAGGCTCCCACAGGCCCTATTGACCCCAAAGCCTGGCTTGGCAGTTGGTACCTGCTGGAAGTAGGCAGCAAAGCGGTGCATGTACTGGTCGTAGGGCAGCATGGCCTGGGTCTCACACCCAAAGAAGTTGATGTACCAGATACCCAGCAGAGCCAGCAGGATGGGGGCGTTCTTCTCCAGGGGTGTAGTACGGAAGTGCTGGTCCTGAAACAAGAGTAGGGTGAGTAGGTGTTGAGCAGCTGCCTGAGGACAGAGGGAAGGAGAGACGGAGGGAGCCAGACCTACACACACACACAGGACTCTAGCTGGCAGCACTCACCATCCAGTGAGCCCCCGAGAGCAGCTGCTCAAAGTTGTCAAAACCTGTGACATAAAAGCAGCATCAACAGAAACAGTCATGCCCTGCACCCTCATGTCAGAGGGCACAGTTTCTTTTGGAAGCAGCAAAAGGCTGGATATAGAGCCAGAAGAAATAGGACCTGGAGGACTTGGGCTTGCAGAAGAAAACCTCTCTCATCAGAGGGGTTCTGAGCACACAGTCAGGTATGACTGTGGCTGGGAAGGGAAATGAATAGGACTGCAGTTTTGAGGTATAGGTAGAAAGGCCAACCTGCAAACCCAAATGTAAATTGGGGCCTTCCCTCTGGCCTGAATGAAATGTTTCAGCCAAAGGAGAGAGGCCAGCTAGCCAGCTGGGGACAGGAAGGTATTAGGGGTATCAGACCTCTACCCCTAATCTTAGACTGCAATAATGTCTACCCAGGGGGCCTGGCAGAAACTTAAAACACTTACCCACGTGCAGGGCAATGGAGAGTCCGATGGCTGACCACAGCGAGTACCGTCCTCCTACCCACTGAGAGAGATAGGAAAAGATGCTGAGGAGGCTGGGGTACCCTGCCCCCGCCCTCCTGCCACAGGGTTTGGCCCCAGAGAGCACTACTCTTCCATATGCTCAGATCTGAGGGCCTGGGCCCAACTTATTGGCTGCAAGATAGTAGGCCAGGTGCTGAGGACTCCTTGGGCAACACCAACTACATATGGCTCTGGTCAGAGCCATAATACTCAGCGACAGACCTTACCATGGCCAGCTGCATCTCCAGACTGCATGGACAGACCCAGTGCCTACTACCTGTACCTAGCCCCACCTCCTCGTACACTGACAGAACAAGGGTCTCAAAGCTATGCTTGACTCTGTCTCTTTGGACCGAAAGACCCAGAGTCCCATACCTGTGTCTTGACTTTGCCTTTTCAAACACTGATAGACCTAGTGCCTCATACCCGTACCTGGCACTGCCCCGCCAGACTGACATATGATAGCTTCATACCTGCATCCAACCCTGCTTCCTCAAACATTATCAGACCCAGAGCCTCATACCTGGGCCAAGTTCTGCCTCCTTAGACATTAACAGACCCAACACAGATCTCATACCTGGGCCTAGCCCAGCCTTCTGAGACTGACAGACCCAGCACCTCATACCTGTGCTAGGCTTTACCTCTTTGTACACTGATAGGCCCTGTACTTCCTATCAGGCCTGGTCTAACTTCTTGAGAATGGTGGATCCAGTATCTCATACCTGGGCCTGATACCACCCTCCATGGATAATGAAAAACTCGCACCTCCTACATAAGCCCGGTTTCACCTCCTTAGATACTGTCAAACACAGCCCCTCCTACCTGTGCCTGGCCCTGTCTCTTTGTACCAAGCAGACCCAGAGACTCTTACCTGGGTCTATCTCAGCCTCCTGGGATACTGATAGGACCAGAACTTCATACCTAGGCTTGACCTATCTTCTAAGCCTCAGCAAAGAAACACGCCTAGGCCGACCACTTGAACTGAGCCTTCTCATGCTTTGTACATAGGTCTCCTCAGAATCCTGAGAACCCTGTTCATACTTTCCTATTTATAGAGCCCTTAATGCATGCCTAGCACAGGCAATGATAACAGTTCAGTGAAAGAGGGAGTTATAAATGAAATCATCATACCAATAAATGTGAAACTAAGATATAAATGCTCAGGAGGAAATGAGTATTACAAAAGGAGTATAAGGACGACAGATGAGCAGGCATTACCCAGGAAGCACCGATGCGGGGAGAAGCATTCTAGTGGCTAGAAGAGCATATGCAAAAGCCCTGCAGCAAGAGCAGCCTTTCTCAAGAGTGAGAGAATTAAGCCCCAAGGAAAATTATTTGAATGACTTCCATTCTCCCAAGGACATTCCAAGCTTGTGCCTCATGATGTGGAGAGATGTTCATTCATTACCATCACATACTACAGATGCTTTAGGGCCTTAGTATTTAAGTCTCTCCCAGAAGCCAGTGGAGACAGGTTGGGCAAGAGGAGGCATGGCACAGTCTAGCAGATAAAGGAAGGAGAGAGGGCCGGAGGGTAGGTGCTGAGAAGCAGGGCTGGAGACCACAAACAGCGTGTGGGTGCGCTAAGAGCAGAAGCAAGGAAAGTTCATAGAGACCTCAGTAGTATTCCGAGTGAATACTACCTTGGACAGGGGAGTACAGAGCAGCTATAGAAGACGACTAATTTAAGAATTTCAATCAAACAGGATGGATTAGAAGAAAGAATCATGTGTGGCACAAAGGTTTCTGGCTTGGCCAACAAGACAGATAGTGGGGCCCTTCACCTGGAAATGGTCTGAATTTGGGGGAACCTAATCTGACAGACACAGTCCCACAGACCTAACACAAGTTTTCACACCTCACCTGATAGATTCAATTCTAAAGGCTTGTCCTGAGCATATGGCCAGCTTTCAAGATTCCAGGCTGCTTACCTCAGCCTGAAGCCAGGCCCTCAGACATCACTTTTAGCAGAGCCCAGCAATGCCTAAGGCACTTGGACTGCTAACCAGAAGGCTGGCGGTTCAAACCCACCAGCCACTCCTCGGAAGGAAGGTTGGACAATCCTACTTCCGTAGTGATACTGCCTCGGAAACCCAAGGAGGGGTCGCTGAGAGTCGGGGCGGACTCGACGGCAAATAACAACAACAACAACAGCAGCAATGCCAAACAGTGTCTACCCTGAGGTTCGGGACCTCAACCTGCACACACAGGTCTCGGGACCTCATCTTTACTTACAGTGGACCACTCAGTCCATCTCTTACATAGTTCCTCAGTCATTTTTACTGTCTATACCTTGCTTGCCCCAGTGCCTCAGACTTCACCTTTTCTAACCCTACCTTTTTCTTTACCTGCACAATTCAGACTCGTGTTAGCCAGACTCCAGTGCCAGAGGTAGATCACATCTTAGACTCATGGATTCTCAAGTCTCTGTGACACCCACAGTTCTGCATATCACACCTGACTAGTGTGCTGAGACCCAGGTGGCTGAACCACCAGGTGGTTCGCAGTAGGCAGAGTTGGCTCTGTCAGGAGTCAGATTCAGACAAAGGTACACATATCTGGGTCTATGTGGTGAGGCCTGAGAGGTTAAGCCCAGGTGGGAAAGCTCAAGCCTCACCAGCCACACTAATTCCTGGATTAGATCCTGCCCCACCTACTTCACCTAACAAGCCCAAGGGTATCAACTTGCCTGAGCCTGGCTTTCAAGAAACCATCTAAGACCAGGCTTGTATACCTCTGCCCAATATACCCTAAACTCACAGACCTCAGTGACACTCAGGTGGACATAGACACCAGTACTGGACATAGATGCAAATGCTGTATCTGGGAGATCTAGTTTTGCCTACCTGTGTCCAACTCCAGTGCCTCATACCACAGGGTTATATACCTGTCAGAGACAAGCTCCAGAATGCTAATAAGACTAGGTTTAACTCACCTGTCTGTCCCTGATTCCTCACACCTCAAACAACAGGCTCAGTTCCACCTCTTTGAGTCCAACTCAGATTCTTCATACCATAATGTTGTTGTTGTTGTTATGTGCCGTTGAGTCAGACCCAACTCATAGCAACCCTTCCTTGGGTTTCTGAGGCAGTATCACTATGGAAGTAAATTGACCCATCTTCCTTTCGAGGAGTGGCTGGTGGGTTTGAACTGCCAGCCTTCTGGTTAGCAGTCAAGTGCCTTAGGCACTATGCTACCAGAGCTCCTATTCATACCATAATGGAGAGATGTAATTTTACTTACTTACATGGGCCTGATCCTCAGGTCTAACTTGAGTGGCTCAGGTTGATAAACTGTATCTGAATTAGCTTTTCATGTCTCACACACAGCTCTAACACTACTCACCTCGGCACCAACAACCTCACTGAAGTGTCTCAAGACCACACTGAACAGGAATCTCTCTGCATACCTTTGCTCCAGAGACCTCACCAGAGACACATGGATCTACCTACCTGGACCAAATGAGACCAGGTTTACGTATCTGAGTCAGACCAGACTCCAAGGTTCTGTATATACCACCAGGGTGGATTAACCAGTAAGCAAAGTATGCACAGGACTAGTCGTGTGAAAGTTGTGGTGAAACACATGTGAAACTGTGACTAAAGATTAGTAAGTAAGCACAAGTAAGCCCACATGTACCTTGCTTATCAGGTAATCCATCACCGCATACCATGTCCAAAGTCCAAAGAGTCCAAAGTCCTTGCTTAAGTCTTATCGGTCTTACCTACTAATGTCTTAACAACTTGGGCCCCAAAGACCTCCTATGAGAGACTCACAGTGCTCTGCCCACCTGTATAAGACCCCAGGGTCATAGGCCTGATCTAAGAGACTGTTCTCTCTACCTGGGCGTAACCTGGTTCTTCAGGTCTCACCATATAGACCCAGGGGTATGTACTTTTACCTGAAACCAACTCCTAAAAGAGCCAATTCTACTTACTTACGTGCAACCATAATTCCTAAGGCCTCTTGACCATCTTTGGTGGGCCAGCTCTACCTACCTGTGTCTCACCCAACTGCTCACACATTATCCAAGTCAGCTGGTTCTACTTACTTTAACTTGACCATGGCTTTTTAGATCTCAAGGACAGAACCAATTTTGTGACCCTGGCTCTATAGATATTACCTGACAACCCCTGCTGTATGTACCTGTGCCTGACTCATGCACTTCAGACCTGAAAGACCCAAGGACACAAACCTGTGCCAGACACAGATTCCATAGATCTTACCCAAAAGGCTAAGTTCCACATCCTGTGTGAGACCACAAATCCTCAGATCTCACCCAGGAGATATAGTTCTACATACCATTTTAACCTCACCTCAAAAATCCAGACCTATTCACTTGTATCCGATCCCAGCTCCTGAGATCACACCTGAGAGACCTAGTGTGCTATCCACCAGGCTATCTCACAGGCCATTAGAGATACCCAGTACTTTCTAAAAGAGCTTAATCCTGGCTCCTCAGGCCTCATCTGACAAATCAACCTACCTGTGCCTGACCTCAAATGCAGGACACAGTTTAATGAACTGAACCATGGCTTTTCAAGTCAATCTACCTTTGCTTATCCTTGGTTTCACTGACCTTACCCATCAAACTTAGCTCTACCCACCTGTGCTTACCCCTAGCTCTGCAGACATAAGAGTACAAACATGGGCCTAACCTTAGCAGTTCAGACCTTACCTGTGAGACCCAGAAGTGTAAACGTGCATCTCACCTCAACTCCTCAAACCTCATCTGACAGACATACTGTTCATAACTATGCCAGACCCAGGCTTCATAAACCTTCCAAATGGATACAGTTCTCATCCCTTTGCCTGGTTCCAGCTTTCCAGTCTTTTCCCAGGGGACCCAGGCACCTTTACCATCACCAGCTAAGAACATAGTTATCACCTGGACCTAATCATGTATTTTCATTTCTCACTTGTCAGACCCTACCTGTCTTTGGCTCCAATGTCCTTACCTGACTAACTGGTTCTACCTGCATGTGCCTACCTCTGGCTTCTCAGGCCTCACCTAAAAAAAACCAGTCATACACATCTTTGTTTGATTCCAGATTCTGAGATCACACGTGACAGACTCTACTACACACACCCTAGCCTGAGGTAAGCTTCAGAAGAGCCCTGTAGTACAAAACAGCATCTGAGTGACTCAGTCCTCTGGGCACCTCACCTTGCAGACATGGATCTCTAGACCCCTTAGACAACACGTCAGCCCACGGGTCTGTCTATGCTTCACCTGCTTCACCTGCCCCAGGCTCCCAAGTTCCTACCTTTTACAGTCAGGTACAATCCTACCTCTCCTTCATCTGGGCTCCTCAGATCCCACCCCAGCCAGACCCCAATGCTACAGACCACGACTCGGATTGGTCATGGATCCTAAGACCTTAATGACATCCCAAACTCTGTACATCACACCAAATCAGGATGCAGAAAATAAGATATCTGACTTGATTAAGGGAACTGTCCCTGTGTTTGCCTCATATTGAGTTCTAAACATCTTATTTAAGCAAGCAGTCACCCACTACCTGACTCTCATCTCACTTTTCAAAACTGATCAGAGAGACATATGTACCTGTCCCACGCCATTCATCTAGATACCTCATCTCATAAATCCCAGTTTAAGTACCTATACATGGCTTGGGCTCCTCAGATTGCAACTGGTAGAACCATCTCTAAAAATATGTCTCCTCCAAAATTCACAGACTCACTTGTAATACATTTTCCTGTCCTGGCTCCTTCTCAGAACTCACCTGTACCTGTCCTGACTCTCCTCAGATCTCACCAGGCAGAATTAGCTCCTCAATGTGTACTGACTCTGGCTGACCCCTGACAGATCCCACAACTTACTGCCATACCTCTGACAAATCCTGACACGTAAGGGTGCCCCTGTGACTGACGCCAGCAGACCAGCCTCACCACTTAACATACCTCTGCCAGAATGGCCTCCTCTGAGCTCGTTTCAGATCCTATGCTTTGCCTGACTCCTCTACCTTGCCTGAGAGACCCTAGCTCCAGAAACCCCACCTGTCCCTGTCTCTAGTCCCTTAGACTTCACCTTCTGGATCCAGCAATGCAAACCCCAGTGGCTCAGGCAGGTCCTTCCTCCAGCTACCGTGGTATGTCTAATCTGGCCTAGACAGCCTCTACAGTGCCTTATCTGGCCACTTAATCCCACTAACCATGTTCCTGTGTCCAATGTCATTCCTAGACCTTGCCAGGGAGACCCACACCCCAACTCATATCTGCATGCTGGGCAGTTATGGCAATGAAAACCCAGACTTAGGACACAACCCTGCTCTGCTGGGCTTCTTGGCTAGCAGAAATACCTGACCACCACCTCATCAGGCTTTAGTTCCTAGGGAGGAGGTGCAAGAGTCCCTTCTCTCCTTTATCAAGGATGAAAACATTTGTTAGGAGCTGCATAGTCTCTCTCAACCAGGTTCCTCATCTGAGCCACAAGACCACAAAATGCAGAAAATGATTTGAGTGATTCTTTCCAAGGATGGTACATAACTAGTCCCATTGTACAAAGAAGTTAACTCATTACACACTATGGATCCTGTAGGACATTAAGGCTTAATTCTCTCCCAGACCCTGGTAGAAAAAAGGCTTTAGAGCATTTAAAATAAGGAGTTTGCCCTGTGGATGTTGCTACTAATCAAAGAGCCTCCAATGCAAAGGCCAGGAAACAGCCCCAATGGGAAAACTCCCCAAACAGACAATGCTCTCTGCAGTGTGCCTGCCACACCAAGTGTTAGAGCACTGGACCCTTGCCCAGCCACACTCCCTGTATTCACAAGTACCCACAGCTCACAGAGCCCTGTACCCCAAGCCTCCCCTGCATTCCACAGGCCAACCCACCACACCTACTGCCTCAACCTGCCCCTTGACCTTTACAGACTGCAGCTGCAGCACAGAGAAAGGTCATCACTGAGAATAACTCAACTTCAGCTCCGTGAAGGAGAAGGGTGGCTCCAGTTACCTCATAATGGGTGCTGCTGGCAAGCAACCTGCGGAGTGTCGGAAGTTGAGCTCTCATCCTAACTGGGCTGTTCTTGCCCCACAAGCTTCTATAAAGGGCCTCCCTGCCCTTCCCAAAGCCAGGCATGCAGCAGATGCTTAATATTAACACTGACCTGACCTCACAGGCCCCTTATCTGTGGCAAAGGACACAATTCACCCAATGCAGAAGTGCCTTTACTTACATCCCAGAACTCAAACATGTTTTGAGGGTCAATTCCAAACTCCTTCACTTTGGTCTAAAAAGGGCAAAAGGGGAGAGAAGAATGAAGCATTTATTATCTGGACAGGAAAAGGTGGGCAAGAATAGCAACCCCAGGATGCAAGAAGTTTTGCTGACCAAGCTGCATGTGTATCTTCTTTTTCCTCAGAGCCCCAGCTAGGGCAGGGATGGAGTAGGATCTGCCCACCCCACAGCTGGATGCCAGATACCTCACATCTAGCACACCAGCTGCCTTGGGCCTACAAAGCCATTCTGCTAAGGGGGGCTGCACACCCAGTATGAAGGGCTGGCCCACACAGTCTTCTAAGAGCCATTTCCCTAGCCTGTCAGGGTCATCGGAGAATGACCCACAGGACATATGGGAACCCAAGCATGGGCAGGGGCCACATAGCCAGAACATCTGTCCAGCCCTTTTAGTATCTAGGATGGGTGCTGTACTCCAGGAAGCCTTTAGGGAATGGATGCCTGACCACGCTCCTCAGAAGCCCCGGTTCTCTCACTTATGCCTCAGAGGAGAAGCCCCACTGACCAATGTGAGCTCTGACCATAGGAGGCAGACAATGGTGCTATGGTCAGCCAGCCTGAAGACATCCTACTGTCCCCACTAAGGGCAAGTCAACACTGGAGGCATGGGATGGTGACGGAAGGGGTGGGATGGAGTATTCAAGAAGACCTGGGTGTAGTTTCCAGCTCTGATACAGCTCAGCACAATGCCTACCATTGAGCAAGTTCTCAGTAAGGTTTATTGCAAGCCTCGTGGCAAGGGCAGACTGTGGGAGCTGACAGACCCAAGTTCTAATGCTAACATCACTAACTGGAGCAAAAAGTTGCATTTCAGGAAGAACAATGTGGAACAAAACTCAAAATCATTTGGAGGCAAAAAAAAAAAAAGAAGGTGGGGACCAGGTTTGCTGGTCCAATAGAGCCTGGTGAAACCACTGAGACTATGGCCCCTAGCTGCCCTTCAGGTCTGGAATTGAACCCACACCTGTGATTTCCAGCCAAACAAAGTACAGGCAAGTGAGTTAAACATTTACCTCAAGTAGACACACACCCTGGACAGAACAATCATGGGAGAAGGAAGGGCTGCTTATGCACAGGGAGATAGCTCAGGGTGCAGAAGAGTATGAAGGGATGGACACTGGGAGGAGGTAACTATGGGGAGGAAGTGGGAGGGGAGCTGCTGCATTGTAAATTTTGGTCAATGACATGAGACAAAGTGTATGCGAACTGTATGAAAAGTGAATTTACTCTGTAAATCTTCACCCAAATCAAAAAAAAAAAATAAAAAAAAAAAAAAAAAGAAAAGGAAAAAAAAAAAGTTGCATTTCTTTTCTGGGGCTTAATGTCTTTATGTGAGAAATGAAATGGGATGTATCCCCAACCCCTGCCACATCCCATTTTGTGAAGGGCCAGCGGCAAGAGCCAAGAGAAGTCATGAATGTGGAGTGTTCTAGGTACCAGTCAGGCTTAGAAGATGGATAGGATTAAGATGATACCACTCACTGTAAGCCCCTCTTTGGGGCTGCAGAGATTTGATGAGACTATGCAGAAAAGACAAGGATGATTTGCAACACACATAGGCAATCAACCCTTCTATACTGTCAGCTGGATGAAGATCCTCCAAACCCATGAACCACATCTTGACTAATGTAATCTACAACCTTGATGTGGCCTTGCCTCTTCTAGGGCGATGGTAGGGGAAGCCACACTGATACTTACCGTGTTGGTAGACAGAGCAACGAAGTGCTTCGCGACTGCAGAAGGCTACAAAAGACAGAGCCAAGTTATAACAAATATATCCCAGAGGGGCCACTCAAGGGCAGTGATTCTCCTACCATTGGAGAAACCAAGGCCCCTGGCATGACTGCTTCTTCTTAGTCCTTAGTTCTGAGGTTGCTGGAGGAGCCCTACAGTTGCCAGCCAGCCTTTCCCACCCCACAGCCATACAAGGTTCAGGAATGTCTTCTGTGAAATGAGTGTGGCCAGAAGTAGAGGATTCTGTAGGGCCAAGGACATTAAAGGTTGGCTCCATGGAAAGATCTCTTAGCCAGTCAGAATAGGTTCTGCCACATTTCTGTGTCTGGAGGCTGACAAAGCCAAAGACAAACAATCAACCAGAAAAGGGAGGCATCAGAAAGCCTGCCTCCTGCTTCCAACTTCAAGAGAAACAGGGCCATGTCTGTTCTCCCAGGCAGATGGTCAGGTCTACCCTGATCCTTCCAGTCCACAAGCTGCCCAGCAAGCACCCACCTCACCACAAGGGAGCCTCATCTACCCACTCACATCCTTTGCTGACATGAGGAACCATTCCTTCGCTGTCTCTGCATTTGTGATGGTTTCCTGGGTGGTGAAGGTCTGCAGGGCATAGAGTACAGCAGTCAGCCCCAAAGCTCAAGCCCAGGTGCAACCTTTACCCAGAGGTCAGTGAGGCCACATCAGGGTCCAGTTTCACAAGGATAATGCATGTGAGTCAACATCAGTCACCCCACATTAGGGAGCCCAGGAAGTCACAATGAATTCAGAAAGCTGTGTCTGGGGCAGGGGTCTGAAGTAGTAATGTTATCCTGTGATTCCAGGACTTTACAACCACAAGAGAAAACCCTAGAAAGAGCTGTACCCCACATCCCCCACTCCAACCCAACCCCATAAGTCAAAGGCCAGAGCACTGCCCAGGAGAGGGGTTGTGGCCTGCCTGGGGCTCTCTTCAGCCCAGGATAAGCTGTATCACAAAATTCAGAGTTCTTAATATTGTACATTAATGCAAATAAAGAGGGCATAAACAACAATAAACAAAATTCTGTGTTATCAGGGCATAGCTCTGGGAACAGAAAGGAACAAATAGGGACAAATCAGAAAGAAAAAAAGGTCAGTCCCAGGCTGAGCAAAGATCCCTCAAGTGAGTGGGCATGGCTTTAAGACAAACTGCTGCAAAACAAGGGAAGAGACTGAGGGCAGCTGTATTGACCCAATCCATAAAGCATGGTTCACTCAGACCTGTTCCAAGGCCAGGGAGGGCAAAGCACTCACTCCACCCCACAGCTCAAGCACATGACTAAGGAGTCAGGCAATGTCTAGCGCCCATACCTTGGAGGCAATGATGAACAGGGAGGACTCAGGGTTCAGGGAGGCCAAGGTTTTGGCGATGTGGGTCCCATCAATGTTGGAGACAAACCAGACACGGGGACCACCTGAAGAATATGGCTTAAGGGCTTCAGTTACCATGAGGGGTCCCTGTGAGGAGACACTGCATCAGAGAACTAGACTCTAGGGCCCACAAGAGGTGGGGGAAGGGACCACCAGGAACAGCCCCTCTTCCCATCCCAAGGCAGTCCTCTCCTCACCAGGTCAGAGCCACCAATGCCTATGTTGATGACGTCTGTAATGGGCTTGCCTGTGTAACCCTTCCAGTCACCACCTCGGACACGCTGAAACAGAGGGGAGAGGCAATTAGTCCACGCTCCTGCATATAAGCCACTGGTCAGAAACAGCATGACTTCTGGGTCCTGGCTGCCTCGGTCCCAACTTTCACACTCTCACAGGGCTCTCCTTTTTTTTGTTTTTAATCAATTGCTTTTAATATTTTTTCCCGTGTTTATTTGATAATTTATTTTGTTGTTGCAATCCTTAAGAATGTATATAGTAAAACATGTACCAATTAAGCAGTTTCTACACATACAGTTCAGTGGCATTGACTATATTCTTTGATCTGAGCAATCATTCTCACCCTCTTTTTCTGAGTTGTTCCTCTCCCATTAATATAAACTCAATGCCCCTTAAGTTTCCTGTCTAATTTTTCTAGTTGTTGTGTCAATTTGATCCCATATAGACAGTTATTTAAAAAAAGTACAATGCTCAAGGCAACATTCTTTACTAGTTAAGTTAAACTATTGTTTAATTGTAAGAAGACTTAGGGGGCTATTTCTGCTTTCACTTTTAAAGATAAGCTCAGGGCAATAGTTTTACAGGTTCATCCACTCTCCATGGCTACAAAAGTCTAGAGTCTTTGAGAATTTTAAATCGTGTTTTGCATTTTCCCCTTTTTCATCAGGATTCTTCTAGAGAGTCTTTGATCAAAATGTTCATTAATAGTAGCCAGGCACCATCCAGTTCTTTTGGTCTCATGGCAAAGGAGGTAAGAACCTCTCATGACCATGGTAGTAGATCCCTGTCACACTCTCCCAAATAGACCCCATTTCCTCATTAGAAAAGTGAGAAGACATCCCCAATATACAGTAGCACTGTCAGAATTTGCAAAACAAGGGTGAACTCTCCGAAGAAGCCACAAGAACATCAATGGCTACGGTTTTTCTGTGTCAGGGACAGAAATACCAGACATGTGGCCAACCTCCAAATGGGCTCCAATGGTATTCATGTCCCTGGTACAGTCCCCTCCCACACTGAATAGGGCTGACCTGTGTAAATGCAAGGATATTGTGAAAACAAGAGAGTTTGACTTTGAAGACTAAATCATAAAAGACCATGCAGCTTCTGCCTTGCTCTCTTGGATACTCAATTTTGGGAAAGCCAGCAGTCATTTGTGAGGACACTCAAACTGTCCTATGAAGAAGTCTATGTGGTGAGGAACTGAGGTCTCCTTCTAACAGCCAGCATCAACTCACTGTCCGTATATGTGAAGCATCTTGGAAAGGGATGCTCCAAAACCAAAAACCAAACCCACTGCCATGGAGTCAGATCCGATTCATAGCAACCCCTCCTTGGGTTTCTGAAGCAGTATCACTACGGAAGTAGACTGTGCAACCTTCCTTCCAAGGAGTGGCTGGGGGGTTTGACTGCCAGCCTTCTGGTTAGCAGTCAAATGCCTTAGGCACTACACCATCAGAGATCCTCCAGAACCCATTAAGCTTTCAGATAACTGCAGCTTTGGACAACATCTTGACTACAACATCAAGGAAGATACACAAACTAAGACCACTCAGAAGCCACTCCCAAATTTCTAACCTCTGGAAACCATTGTGAGATAATGTTTATAGAAGCTTTGGTATAATTCCTTATACAATAGATAAACTAATATAGATTTTGGTGCCAGTGTAGGTTGCTGCCATAGCAAAGAGCTAAAAATGTGGTATTATCTAACAATTATTCAATCAAATCTCAGCAGATCTAGAAAGCCATAGTGTCTATAAAGCATTCTTACACATAGATTGTGATAAGGCAATGAGGACAATGTTCAATACTGTAGGTAGCCCAAAGTTCTGTCTAAACACACAAAGAAAGTAATCGTTCTGGATTTAATCCTTTTAAAAGGGGAGTATTTTGTTTTGGGAGCTCTGGTAGCATAGTGCTAAGGCATCTGACTGCTAACCAGAAGGCTGGTGGTTCCAACCCACCAGTCACTCCTCAGAAGAAAGATCAGGCAATCTATTTCCCTAGAGATAATGCCTGGGAAACCCAAGGAGGGGTCACTATGAGTTGAATCGACTCAACTGCAGTGAGTTTGTTTTTTTTCTTTTTAGTTTCTTTTGTTTTAATGTGTTGGAATGGGGGTGAATTTCTAGTTTCACTAAGATTGAAAAAAAAAAAAAACAAACAGAAAATAACAAGTCTTGGTGAGAATGTGGGGAAATTGGGACCCTTATCAGTTGCTGGTGGGAGTGCAAAATAGTATGGCTGTTGTGGAAAACAGTGTGGTGGATCCTTAAAAAACTAAAAATAGAACTACCATGTGACACAACAACTCTGCTCCTAGGTGTATGTGAAGCATCTTGGAAAGGGATGCTCCAAAACCAAAAACCAAACCCACTGCCATGGAGTCAGATCCGATTCATAGCAACCCCTCCTTGGGTTTCTGAAGCAGTATCACTACGGAAGTAGACTGTCTTGTCATAAAAGACTTGAAAGCAGAGACTCAAATAGAGACTTATACACTAGTGTTCATTACAGCACTATCCACAATAGCCAAAAGGTGGAAACAACCTAAATGCCCACCAGCAGATGAATGGATAAACATGTGGTACAGACATACTATGGAACACTACTCAGCCAGTAGGAGAAATGAAGTCTTGATATATGCTACACTATGGATGCAGCCTGAAGACATCATGCTGAGTGAAATAAATCAGTCACAAAAGGGCAAATATTCTATGACCTCACTTACATAAAATAGAAAAGGCAAATGTAGAGAGACTATATCAGTGGTTACCAGAGGTTGGAGGGAGGGGGAAAGAGGGTGGAAAACAGTGATGGAAAAATCACATTGATTAAGAGTAAAGTTGCATAGTTGATTATTACAATGGCCATCAATAAGTTATACCCCTGTAAAAAATTAAATTGGTAAAAGTTGTGTGATAGATATACAATAGCAACAACAACAAAGAGTAGCTGCTGAGGTTGCTATGCACAACTAAAAATCTCATGGATGTTGGTTCCTTGTTCCTTGGTTTGGAAATTTAGGGTGATGGTTTCACGTGCCATCCCAGTTAATTTACCTAATACCGTATTTAAGGTTTATGCTCTACTGTTCTATCTCCCAGTTCCTTGCATAATGCCTAGGGTCTTAAAAGCTTTAACTGCCCTCCAAGGCACAAAATTTAGTCTCTATTCACCTGGAGCAACAGAGGAAGAAGAGTCAGGAACAGGAAGAAGTTATGAAATGTGTGGCTAATTGTATTCATGAACAACAGCATCATTTGCCATGAGACCAGAAGAACCGGATGGCACCTGGCTACCACTACTGAAAGTTTTGATCAAAGATTTTATAGAAGAATCCTGATTAAAAGGGGGAAAATGCAGAATAGAATTTCAAATTCTCATGGACTCGACTTTCTGTTGCCATGGAGGCTGGAACCCCTGCCATTGTCCTGAGATAACCTCTGAAGTCTTTTTAAAACCAAGCAATAATAGCTTAGCTAGTAAAGAATGTCTGCCTAAGCGTTGTCTATATGGGATCAAACTAACAACTGGAAAGATTAGATAGGAAACTTAGAGGGCAATGAGGTCGTATTAATGGGGGAAGAAAAACTCAGAAGAGGAGGATAAGAATGGTCACACAATGCAAAGAATGTAATCAATGTCAATGAATTGTAGATGTCGAATCTGTTAAATTGGTGTATGATTTGCTGGGTATATTCTCAATAACAAAATTAATTTTTTTAAAAAGCATGCAAATTGCTTTGGACATGTAGACATGGTCTGAATCCAGCACCAATTCCGTGATGGAGGGGAAGTGTCTACATTTGTTAAATTACTTTGCCACAATATCCTCATCCTTCTCAGAGCATCTCTCAGTGTCATCATAATCCATCAAAGAAAGTATCAAAAAACCGTATCAAACACACTGTCATCAGGTGGATTTCAACTCAGCAACCTCCACCGAGTTTCCAAGGCAGTAAATCTTTATGCAAGTAAATCGCCCCATTTTCCTTACACAGAGTGACTGAACTGCCAACCTTCTGATTAGCAGTCAAATGTCTGAGGCACTGCACACCTGAGCTCCTTAAAGAAAGTATTGTGACTACATAAGTCAGGGTAACTACTACAATGGAAAATTATTCACTAATAATAAAAAGAGCTATCAAGACATGAAGGAGACTTAAATGCACACTGCTAAGTCAAAGAAACCAGTTTAAAAAATTGACATACTGTATGATTCCAAAAGATCCTTGGTGGCACAGTGGTTAAGGCTCTTGGATGCTAACCAAAAGGTCAGCAGTTCGAACCCACCAGGGCCCAGATGATCATTCCTAGAGCATGTGTACTCACACATACAGACATACACACCCATGTAGATACACAGGCCCCCAGACACAACCCTTGTATTCCAGGCTTGAGGACATCTGCACAGCCCTTACACACAGAGGCAGCAGTGGCTGATATGTTGAAATCTTGCTGGTGTCTGAGGCAACTTCTTCCTCCACCCCCACCTCCCAACACACAGGAAAAGAAAGAAGCACAGTTATATACACTGACGCTAATACAGAGACATCTCTTACACACGGGCAAGTAGAACTAAGTTGCATAACTGTTAGAAAACAAACCTGAGCGTGTGTGCATGAGTCTGTTTCAAAAAGGACAGATGTATATATATATGCTAGTACATGCACAGGAAGTTTTGAAAGCTTTCATAGGATAAGTTACAGAAATGGACTCTAGAAAGCTGATTGGGGTGGGGTTAAAGAACTCTTTCAATATTTATTTAATCTGATTCTATGTAATGTGCAATAAGTACACATTACTTCTCAGGTGATCGTGGAAAAGTAAGTCTCCCTTCCTGCTATCTCATCCCTCTGGGGCCTCACTTTTTATTTTAGGCCTCTGCTATGGGCTGACTTCTCACCAGGAGTCTACTGCTATCCATAATCTAGAGAAGAGGCTACCCTGTCAGTGTCATCAGTGGGTTCTCTCAGAGCAGGAACCTCAGAGTCAGATCCAATGCAATAAGATGGAGCGGCACACCTCTGGGTCAGCAACCACACAGACCATCCTAACCTCAGGCTGCAGGGAGGGCTTGAGTCCTGCCTCCAAGTAGAATAGAGGAACTGCTTGTCCAGAGCTCTCAGATTCTCAGCCCAACAGCCACTTACCTGGCAGAAAGACTTCATCTTGTCCAGTACCCTGTTGACTTCTAACATCACATCCTTGCCATCCACCAGAATGGGTGTATTTGACCGGTTCCGCAAAGCCACATGCAGCACTGCCCGGCCCTGGGGACGAGAGTCAGAGTATGAGGACTCTCATCTCAGGGCAGCCATGTTCCCAGCTGGGCATACTGCACTGCAGCCCTGAGATTGGCTGGGCCCTCTATCAGACCAATCCTGAAAATTCTGTTAGTACCATGGCTTCCAGGCTAAGGATCCACCATGTACTTATAAGAGTAGAGGCTACCCTAGAGCCCTGGGGAAGGTAAGGTATATCCTATTCCCTTATGTGCTACACACAGACAGTGGGGGAGGTGGGAAGAACAGGAACATCTAAGGATAAGCCTCAAGGACTTGTAGGTGCTCAAGGCACAAACCAACAGCCAGATGAAAGAGGAACACAGTGAGCAAAAGTGGAGTGTGGAGACAACACAGGTCAGAGACAAGTAAAAAAAAGGTGCTTTCCGAGGACCTTGTTGATAGCTGGCAGAGTGAATCCTAACTCACAGGAAGCCCACGTATGCAGAGCAGAACTGCTCCATAGGGCTTTCAAGGAAGTGACCTTTTAGAAACAGATCAATAGGATTATCTTCCAAGGTGCCTGTGTGGGTCTGAGCCACCAACCTTTCGGCTAGTAGTCCACACTTAACTGTTTGCACCATATTTTCCCAATGAGAGTACATGGTGTTTGTAGGAACTTTTTGAAAAATAATCCTGGCCCCTTGGGCATAGAGCAATACAGGCAAATCAAGCTCCCTCACCAAGCAGTCCCATCACTTTTAACTGCCAGAAACCAAACCAGATGCCAAGTCTGTGACAGGTACCAGAAAGATGGTCTGGTCACATAGTGAACTGGTCCCATTAAGTTGAAACCAGCAGAAGATGCCATGTCAAAGACACAGGTGGTCAGGAAAGGTTTGTCCTGGGAGTCCAACCCAGTTAGGTTCACTCACTAAGGTGGAGAGCTTCATGCTTCATGCTACCCCATCCCATCTCAGGTCTGTCCCACATTTCACAGGCAAATGCACCCCCCCACACACACTCGAAAAGGCCTTCTTGAACATAGCCTTCCCCTCAACAGAGCCTAGTAGTGCAAGCCAGGTCAAGTTTAAATTCCAGCTCTACCACATACAGCTATGACACCCTGGCTAAGAGACTTATCCTTCAAGCCTCACATGCCTCCTTTGTAAAAGGAGGATAAAAACATCGCCTACCTCACTGGATTATTTTGAGGATGGAGACCCTGCATGCTCATTATTTATTACTTCATGGAAGCTTCCAGGGCTTCCAAAGCAAGTGAGTAAACAAGGACCCCAAAACCTGACCTTCTCACTGCTTCTTATTGATTCCTAGCACTGAGGAGGTTGGGGTATTCTGACATCAGATTCTTCTTTTCACTAATAAAACCCATGGCAAAGACACATCAGAGCCAAGTTCTCCAGGAAAGTATCTTAGATAACCTTGAGAAGCCTTTTCCTTTCAGGCTTTAGATATGTTCCTTACTGAGCATCTATTAGGAACCATTTTAAGAAGCTCACTAGACCCAACAGCCAGTCTCAGGGAAGATATACCGCCTGGCCCTACCACCAGCCTGAGGAAAGAGGCCCTCAGGTCTCTCATTAAGCAAAAGCATTGCCTAAGAGAAGCAGGGTAGCCATAGTGATGTTGCAAACAGTCAAATCTCCAAAAGGAAGAAAGAGGCTCCGGGGATATGAAAAGTCCAGTGTCTAACACTCCTGCTTACCTCAGTGAAGTTGATCTTCTCGCCATTAAACATGCGCTCTCGGGCAGCCTCCACACCCCTAGACTTGGCCTGGGAAGAGAAGACACTGAGGTCTGGTCCGACCCACGTAAGTCATCATGAGCCTCTGGCAATGCCCTAGGCCATGGCTTGACCCTCTCTCTCTAATGAGGCTGACAGATGGCTACAGCCTGGCTCCTTTCCCTACTGCCCAGGGAGTTCGGTCAGACATCAGGCACAGGGGTTCCCTAGGACGCTGCTCAGAGCTTCAGTTCGCAGCAGGCGTCTAGAGCCCTGCATCAGTACAGAGGATCTGGGAGTTCTAGGACCCCAGTGTACCCCCCAAACTGTCTGTCACAGGTCAGGCCTCCAGAAGCAGCACCTTACCAGATCTACCAGCATCTGCATCACATCCTCCGTCACAAGGTTCTTGGAGTAATCCAGCAGAATCTGCCCATGGTTGGTGTTAAGGGTCAAGCTGCAGAGAGAGGGCAGGAGTGAAGCTGCTGACCACACCCTCTGTCAGCAAGGTGGGCCAGCCATCTTCAGGTCTCCTAGCCTATCCCCTGAATAAAGCAGCAGCAGGAGTTGCTTCCAGAAGAACCACTGTCCCTAGGCCACACCCTAAAAGGGTCAGTGGCTCCAAAAAGTGGTGGTGTCTGTCACCTGCCAAGCCACCAGGCTGACCTGTAGCAGCAGCACAGTGAAAGAAGCCATCCTCACAGGACCCAGATGCAGATTCTGAGTGAGGACTCATCCCTCTACTAAAACTAGAGAGAAGAAAATGGGGGATGGGGAGTCAGAGAGCTGGGTGCAGCTGCCCCTGCCTAAGCCTGGGAGTGACCACTCCCTCCTAGAGCTTTCACTCTAAGATTCTTTTACGCAGGCACTGACCCAGGTGATAAAGTGTCTGGCCATGAGGGTCTTCCAGACCCCCTGCTACCAATAACAGTGACCAGAACCCCTCACCCTCATTCCCACCCCTAAGATTTCCTCCAACAGATTCCTTCCCATTTCATCCTCGTTCCTAGGTCCCCAGATCTCAGCCTCTTCAATGGGATTTATATCCCAACACAGCCATCTTTCCATTAAGGCTTTCTGCAAATCTCTGGGGCCTGTCCCACCCACAACCGCACCCTGCACACAATCCTGAGCCCATTCTCGGTTAGGAACTGGTGGAGGGGCAGCCCTTTGCAGCCTGCTGCGTCAGCAGGGGCCGTTCCTCAAAATCGCTGAGGAGGAAATCCCTTCTCAAACGGCCGAGGCGGGGAAGGGAAAGGACAGTGTCCACGTAAAGAGGAGGCGCAGGGCTTCTGCTCATAACTAATCCAACCCTGCCCCGAGACCTCCGGTGAACCCACCAGCCTTGGGAATTTGCTCCAAGGAGGCTTCAAGGACTAAGCGCGGCCCGGGTCTGGAGCCGAGTCCACGACCGAGGCCTCCGAGGACCGCCGCCTTTCGGCACCCCGCGCTTCAACCTCCGCGCGCCTGGGAGGCCGCGCGTTTCGGCTGAGCGCTCCTAACCCTGTCCCTCCCATCCCAGCCTCGGCCTCTGACTTTGGCCCTGAGCGACTGGACCTCGCGCCCACCTGAAACGGCTGAAGCGCTCCTTGTCAGAATCGAAAAGGCGGCGCAGGCTGAGCTCGGACCCGTGCTCACGGTGCCATTGCTGCAGCTTCTGGAACTGCGGGTTCCGAGTGAGCGTAGCCATGGCACGACCAGTTGGTTACACGGCCTCGGACCTACTAGGAGGAAAAGGAAGAAGTGGGTAGACAGACGGCGCGCAGCTAGCAGAGGTCTGGGGCGTGCATAGGACTTTATGGCGCAGGCGCTCGGTCTCGCCCCGCCCCCCAGCCACCGTTCCGGTTCCCTTGCTGCCCGTTAGGCGACCTTGCGTGCAGCCATTGCTCTGGTATCAGCTTGCCTTTCCCTACAACAAGTGGCCACTTGCTCTAAGACTCCTTCGACTTCTGCCCAAGTGTGGCTAGGGGGCAGAGACCTAGCTTCCCATTCCTTGGTCTGCATCTTTCATTCATTCCAGAAAATTGTATTGAACACCTTCTGTGTTACAAGTCCAGGGGCTATGAATACATAAATGACAAATAAGTGAAATAAATGATATGTCAGATACTTGTAAATACTACTGAGAAAAAAGATAACTGGGAAGGGGATTGAGACTAAACCCAGAAAAACAAACCCATTGCCTTCTACTCCATTCTGACCCACAATGAACCTACAGGACAGAATAGAACTGCCCCGTAGGATTTTCAAGGCTGTGCTCTTTGCGGAAGCAGACTACCACATCTTTCTCTAAAGAGCGGCTGGTGATTCCAACCCAACCTCTCCGTCAGCAGCTGAGTATTTAACCACTGCTGCCACCTGGGCTCCTAGGACCTGAGACTAAGAGTAGCAATTTTAAATATAATGACCAAGGAAAACTCACTGCTAATATGAAGGAGACTTGACGGTTGAGTGCTTGGTTAAGGTCAGCAGCTGGAACTCACTAGCTGCTCTGCAGGAGAGAGAATGACAGTCTGCTCCCATAAAGATAACAGCTGTGGAAACCCCATGGGGAAGCCTTGCCTTATAGGGTGGCTTTGAGTTGGAATGGACTCAAGGGCAATGGGTTTTTTTTTTTTTTTTTTTAAGTTGACATTTGAGCAAAAATCTGAGTAACATGAGGGAGCGAGCCAATTGGATACCTAGGATTAGGAGGCGAAATATTGTGGGTAAAAGAAAATCAACTGAAAACTCACTAAGAGCATGTTTAGATGTTCTAGAAACAGCTAAGAGGCCAATGTGGCTGGCGTGGAGTGAGAGAGTGGAATGGTAGAAGATAAGGCCAAAGAAGAAGGTAAGGCAACAAGATCATACATGGCTTTGTATGGTCATTATAAGAACTTTGTTTTTTATTCTGAGAGATGGGAAGTCCTTGGAAGTTTCTGAGCTGATGAGGGACATCCTGTATTTCAGAGTAGAATCTCAACCAATAGGAAGGCCAGTCTCAATAGCCACTGCCCCATAACCCACTTCACTCAGACTCTTTGATGACTCTAGCTCAATGGTAGGCGCTCTGGTAGCGTAGTGCCTAAGGCACTTGACAGCTAACCAGAAAGCTGGTGGTTCAAACCCACCAGCCACTCCTCTGAAGGAAGGCTGGGCAATCTACTTCAGTAGTGATACCTCCTCAGAAACCCCAGGAGGGGTCGCTATGAGTCAAGTTCGACTTGGACGGCACATAACAACAGCTCAATGGTAGCCACTGGGTTCCTTTTTCTAGATTTTTGGTGGCCATGGAGGATGACTGTTGTCTTTGTTTAAAACCACTACCTCCCAACCTTGAGTTTTTTTCCCTCTGCCTTTGTTTGCATCCGGGATAAGCACATAACCCAAGCTAGACAAGCAAGCTGCTTTCCCAGAACCCTGGGGCCAGCAGAAGAAACTCCCTGCTCTCTGTAGCTTTAAAATGTCTTTCTGAAATTCCAGACCTGAGATTCAGTTCCTCATCTCAAGGAGAACAGTGGAGAGAATGACCCCCCAGAGAAATGCTTCAGTGAACCTCACTGGGACCAAGTTCCTGGGTCCAGCTTGTCTCTGCTCTGCCTGCAGGCGTAACATGAACCAAAAATTCCTGTCCTAGTTATCTAGTGCTGCCATAACAGAAATACTACAAGTGGATGGCTTTAACAAATTTATTCTCTCAGAGTTTAAGAAGCCAGAAGTCTGAATTCAGGGGACCAGCTCTAGGGGAAGGTTTCTCTCTATATTGGCTCTGAGCGAAGGTCCTTATCTCCTTTCAGTATCTGTGAGCCTGACATTCCTTATAGATCTTCATTATGTCTTTGCATCAATCTTCCTGTGGGTCTAGGAGAGTTTCAGCATAGGGGTCTGAGTCCAAAGGACACACGCCGCTCCCAGCTCTTCTTTCTTGGTGATACTAAGGTCTCTCCTCTCCTTGCCTCTCTTCTTTTATCTATTAGTAAGATAAAAGGTGATGCAGGCCACGCTCCAGGTAAATTCTCCAATTGGACCAGGTTTGTGACCTGAGTAAGGGTGTTTGTTTATCTCACCCTAATGCCCTTACGACTGATTGATCACATCAGATCACATCATACAGGATGATGATTTCATTACATAACTACCAAATTACATCATTACATAACTGCCAAACCACTGAGAATCATGGCCCAACCAAGCTGACACAGTTTTTGGAGACACAATTCAATCCATGATAATTTCCCTTAGTGTTTATACTGTGTAAATTGAGTTTCTTGTCATGTAAATTTCAAGTCTTTCCAAAAATTTTATGGCTGTCCACCTGCCCACTGCCAGTGTCTTCAACATCCTCTCTCATCCACCCATAGTCTACAGGAGAAGCTTTGGGTATTGAAGAAGAGGCAGGAGCAGAGGCCACTGATGAGTGCCTTTTTGAAAGTTTCACCTTCTTTCTTGGCATTCCATAACGTATACTTCAACGATTCTAGACTTATTCTAGATCCTAGAATATTCAATAATTCTTTATTTTCCAGGACCTCGTAATACTTTAAGATCAATATTACACTCTGAAATTCCAAAGTTACACGAATTTTCTCTACTAGCAGAAAACTTGGGTTTCTATCTGGAGGGTCTTAAGACACAGTAGATAAGGAAAGAAAATGCAAAAAGTAATAGAACAGAGGTCATTTGTCACTAATTGAAAGTTATTCATCATTGGCATACACACAGCTACCACTCTGGCCAGCTTACTCTGTGCAGAGCTCTGTGCAGAAGGAGATTTATGCTTTCATGTAATCCTCATTGCTGCCCTTCTCATTTAACAGAGAGGTTAAGAAATTTGAAAAGGGCCCATTTACTACTAAGCAGAGAACCCAAGGCTGCCTGATTCCTGCACCTATGTTCTTAATTACAACTCTCTCTTGCCTGAGACTTCCTGGCTCCTCAGCCTTAAGAAAAAGGCACAGGCAAAGTCAGAGAGGAGGTAAATCCCCATCGGCCTAGTTCTGTTTTTGCCATCAATTAAGCCTCTGTGGTATTAACATGAAAATAGCCAAAAAATTCCATCCCAAACGGAAGGGATAGTATAGGCAAAGGCAAGAGTAGGATAATCCAGGCAATGGCTGCATTAACCCTGATTCTCATGGACTGAATCCAAGGATCTGTGTAGGGCGTTAACAAGAAAGCCCCCGGAAAAGGTAAAATGTGTGAGAGAGTGATCGCAGTGGGACATCGGAGTGTGGGAGTCAAAATGTTGGAGTGGGATCTGTAGTTTGGGAAAACATCAGCATAACTTTGAAAAAAAGCCCTACTGTTTTCTATCACCATCATCACAACTGCTACCACATGTTATACCAAACTTGTCCGAAAACCGTAATCTAGGGTTCAGAATTACTAAATTTTGGGGGTAGCGAGGCTTAGAGATCTGACTAACCAGAATGGAAAGAAAACTGAGCTTCAAAAGGTCCAAAAAAACTCAAGTTATCAGGAATCTTCAAGTGCCTCTCAGCGAAATAGTCTAGTCCGGAAGGGAGAAGGGGCTTCACAGCGGAGGCGAATTAGTAAATCTGAGAACAAGCTCTGAAGAGCCGCATTCACGCCAATGAGATTTTCAAGAACTGTTCGGAGTAGGCGCACCAACAGGGGATGCTGAGTCACCGTGACCAGCGCGGCCGTGGCGACAGCGCCTCCTTCTCACACTTCCCTGAAGGAAGGGTGGACTTGTCTACGTGTGGGGAAGGTTTTGAGCCCCACCATTACTTCGCTGCTCACCGTGACTCATCATTCCCAGTGGGCGCGTCTACTCCGAACAGCTCGTGAAACTCTCACTGGCGTGGATGCGGCGCTTCCAGTGCTTACCCTCGGACTTCCTAATTCGCTTCCGCTGTCAAAACCCTCCTCCCTCTGGCTATTTTCTACACTATGTTGTTGAGAGGCACTTGAAGATGACTGATGTTGGAGTTTTGAGCCAGGCTTTCATTTCTTCCCAGGGTCGCTATGAATGGACTACACCGCAGTGGGTTTTGGCTGAACGATGGGGCGGGGATGGGCGCGTGCTCACACAAATACGTGCAGGTCCGCACGTTCTAGCTGGGCGAGGTGCACGCGCATGCGCATGTCACATCCCGTGTTGAACGGTTATAGGCTCTGGTAGCATAGTGCGTAAGGCACTTGACTGCTAACCAGAAGGCTGGCGGTTCAAACCCACCAGCCACTTCTCGGAAGGAAGGTTAGGCATTCCTACTCTTTAGTGATACTGCCTCGGAAACCCAAGGAGGGGTCGCTATGAGTCGGGCCGACTCGATGGCAAATAACAACAACAACAAGCAAACATTACGTCCGCAGGTCTTTGCGTTAGTGCGTGCGTTACGCATGCTCTTAGTGGGCGAGAACGTGCGCGCGCGCAAGTGCATGCACGCGCTCTGGAGGTGACAGTCTGTGTGTCCCTCTCGGTGGTGTTTTCCGCAGCCGCACGCTCAATGCGTCTTGTCGCCCCAGACTTTCCTCATGCGTCCATTACCGTATCCTAAAAAACAAACGAACGTCACCGAACACAGGTGCGGGTTTCCACGAGAACAGAAAAATTTATAATTGTTAAAAACAACTGCATACCCCTGACGGCAGCGTCTAATGTCATTCTGTCTTACTAGCCTGGTACCAAACTCTGCTCTTTACCTTTTAGTTCAGTGAGAGTCTGAGTTTTGCAACAAGATCCTAAG